GGGGGGGGGACAGAGAGTGGGACTGTTGCGGGGGGAAGGGAGGTGGAAAGGAACTATGCAAGAACTAGAGCAGATCCAGGCTTTCCGCAGTGCTGGTGCCCGTGTCGCTGGAAAGACCGCCTATGTGCTTAGTCAACTGGGAAGTGGCCCAGTCTACCGAATCAACAGCTAACACAAGTGTCAAGAGTACTGATACTTCAAATGGCAACTTTTATGGCACTGATAGTTCAAACTATATTATGCCATCAACTTCGGTCTTGGGCTCTCCTTATCCACGACTTGCGGGATAGCGGATGAGCCTAGCTGTTCCAACTATTCCTCTCGTATGTCATGCAATTGCAATTTTGCTGGTAAATTTCGTAAATCTCTACTTCAGACCTAAAAAATACTGCAGATTCGGAAATGAAATGCAGTAAAAACCAGTTCCCAATCAAGCGCAAGCCGCTTCTTACCCCTGAATGACTAATGAGCAAATTATATTTCAAAGCATATATTTTTTATTTCAAAGAATTTCAAAAGCATCAAAGCAAAGCATATTCAAAGCATATATTTTAAAGCATTCAAGTAAATTCAAATAAAATTTTCAAGTAAAACTTTTCAAGTAATCATATATTCAAGTAAAACTGATAAAATCTTCCATGTAAACTGCATGTGCGACAAAATTTCATACGAAACATCTCAGAACTAACAGAATTTCCATAATTCATCACCGATGTACCGAAAACTGCCAAAAACCACTACTCACCAGAAGGGCTATTGATGGCCCCCTGTTGAAAAACCTGCTCAAAAACAGGCTGTTAAGTAAAAACAAGTATCAGAATGACTCACAAATTTGACTTTTTAACTTGCAAAATTTGACAAAAAAACATCAAAAAATTTCACAGATATATAACATCAACACAACAAAACCGAAATTCATTGGAGCCCAAATAATTGGGAAGAATTGGAAATTGGCAAAAAACACTGGTAAAAAAAAAAAATAAACCGAGACCGAAACAAACAATAAATCGACCTGTAGGAGATGCCTTTTTTTGTTTCGAGCCGATAAGCTTTCGCTGCTGATAATGCTTTCCAGAATAGCAAACAGATGGCTGTCCAATCATTCGAAAAATCCTAGATTTATCTTATTCAAAGATAAAAAAATAATGCTCACAATGGGCCTTAGAAAAGATAATGCTCACAAAGATAAAGAAATGAAAATGATGCTCACAAAGATAAAATAAATAATGCTCACAACGAAAAAAATGCTCACAAAGAATAATGCTCACAATAGTGCTCACAAGAATCTCCATAAGCGAATCCACGCGGAGCAATACACAGAGCCTGAAACTGCCGTCAACAGTATATTTTCTAGCGAAGTATTTTTTTTCGAAGTTTTCCGAAGTTTTCCAAAAAAAGTTTTCAGAAAAAAGTTTTCCGAAAAAAAAAGCTTTCCGAAATTTTTTCCGAAGCATTTTTCTTTAATTTAAAGTACTTCGTTTGAATACTTCGTAAGTAAAATGCAAAAAAATTCATTTACTGCGACAGTAGAGCATTCTCGTTGTCATACTGTAACGTTTGAGAACTGCTCCGCTTCGAGTTGACACCCTGAAGGTCCTCTGGGTTTTGCGTCTGCAAAGATTCACTAGCTGTCGCGCTGTTGTTCACTTTCAGCCTTTCCTCACTTTCCTTATTTTCAGCCGTTGCGGCTAACTCAGGTACATCTGATTTGTGAGCTGATTTGTATTGCTCGTTAAATGAGGCCGCACGTCGAACTAGTACTGTTGTCGAGGCACTGCGCTCTACGGAAAATCTGAAAAAATGTAATAAAAAAAAATGTGAAAAAATGTAAAAAAATAAAAAAAAATGTAATTAATGTAATTAAAAATAGTTTTTTATGCAAATGTAAAAAAAATAAAAAAATAATTTTCTAATCAAATTTGTAATTTAATTTAATCAATAAATTTAATCGAAATCAAAAAAATCAAAAAACACAAAAAAATCAAAAAAATCAAAATCAGATAAACAAATATAAAAAAATCAAAATAATTAATGTAATAGTAATTTAATAATCAATAGTGTAAAAAAATTAATAATAAAAATTCAGAATTCAAATTCAAAATTATTCAAAAATTCAAA